TTCACGGCGAGTTGCGTTCTTGGCAGAGCCTCCTCTTGGCAGACCAGACTTGTGTCGGCGCAAGGGTGAGCCGACAATTTAAGACTTGTCACAATCAAGATTCCAGTTTCCAGTAATATTTTTTAGAATTCTTGGATTCTTTAACTAGCGATAATTGGTTATGAAGTCCAACAGTTGCCACCTGGTAACCAATGGAACTGGAAATTCTGGTGGGTATATGGGTCTTACTTTTGACCTGATTTTTGTTGTTTAGGCCTCTGACTACTATGTGATCTTGCAACAATTTAAGACTTATTTAAATCTTAAAACATAATGCAAGCTAATCTTATGTCACCATGAAGATATGAAATTACGCAAGTCAAAAACTTTAAACAAGGGCGTTTGGAACTGTTTTGCACCATACCATGCAAGGTGAAATCGTCACCATGAAGATATGAAATTACACAAGTTAAAAACTTTAAACAAGGGCGTTTAGAACTGTTTTGCACCGTACCATGCAAGGTGAAATCAGGTAACAAGAGTTTTCTTACTGGACAGCGGTAAAGATTCATAATTTGAATGATTGGTTTGATTGAAATGTTTCATTATTGTTATCTTTTGATCAACATTTATTTAAGATTGAATGTTCCACATTGAGCCTTACATGTGAGCACAATTTTATTCTTGTTTTTGCATCTGACTACTATGTATCATTCCGCCCTTTAAGATGTGGTTCAACACCGTATACACGGTGTGCTACAAAAATAATCGGTGCATTTGATGATCTTAGCCCCTAGAGATATGGTTCAATACCATAAAAATTGTACTTGGAATGGACGCTATGTAATTTTCTATCCATTAATAGGGTTTAACTTTTTTGTTGCTTTTGTTTGCCGCTCCACAATTTTCAGTGGCACTATAAATGCAGTCAACCTTGGAGCTTTGGGAATCTTTCTTAAAAACAGCAATGCCTTGTCCTTGTGCTGAGACGCACAAACGTCATGTTCTTTATAGAAAAGAAATCAGAAGAGGATATATTTGATAGGGTGCACGAAGCGCGCTTTATTTTCTAGTCTAGTTAAAATAAGTATTAAATTATACACTACTGCTATCCATTTCCATACCTATTCTATCTATATTGGAGTCTTCATTTATTTTTCCTATATCTTTTGATAAATCTAGATCATTATGATATCAATTTATATGACCAATGCAATAGTTGTACTTGTTAATACATTAATTTTTTATTTAGGTATTTTTGCCAACATACTGAAATTATTACTATTTTCTAAAAATTTTAGTTTTGAATTTAGCTACTGTAGCACCCGGTTTTAAGAACAAAACCAGATACACACCATATATGAGCCCAGGAAGTCAAATCTCACATATAGCTACAAATAAGGGAAATATCAATAGACAATGCACAATATATAACGTACTTAGTGTAAAGATATAACCTTAGATAGCAAACAGCGGAAAGACAACTCTTATTATTCGGGTGAAGACTCCAATTCCACAGGGACAACTGACTGGTTGATCACAAGCTTAATTCCTCCAAACTCTAGCAATCCGGTACACATCCGGGATTTTTATCCAAATAGTTGAAAAATAAAGCAAGCATAAGTACATGTCATACTCAACAAATATAATATGGGGTTCATGAGGCTCAAAAGGCTGATACTGGTTTAACTGCGATTAGCTTTTAATGAGTCATCTTTTAGCACTTGGGTGACAACAAGTTTATCACAAGGCCATGTAAACACATGATCAGGTAAACATGAATAATGAATAGCATAAACAGTAATCATTAGTGAGCATCTTTATCATCAGTGTCATCAGTGTTCATCATCTATTCCGTAAGGGTCTAAGGCCGCTCGTGACAGTGAGCACGGCTGATATACCAGTTTTACACTCTGCAGAGGTTGTACATTTTCACTATGAGTTAGCTAATCTCTTGATCCACTTCCAAGGAAGATCGGTAGGGTTCATTATAAAGCCTTTCAAAGGTTTGTCTAACAAGTTAGGGCCATTAGATTCACTCATCAAACAGATATAGGAACCCCCTGTCGAATGGCACAATTCCATCACTGCTATACACATAAGAGTAGAGGCTGTCCTATACCTGATTCGGCAAGCCATTCTTACGCCATAAAGGTAACATCCAATAAGCTAGAAAAGGTCTTCATACTGAGCTAAAGCCAGAGCCATGTAGCCCTCACAGCTGTACTGTAAGTCCTGGATGTTCGCTTATAGATAAGTCCTTAGGGAGAGAAATCTAGAGCACCATAAAAATAGCCCAATACTCTAGCCCACTTGTTCCATGTTGCTAAAAAGCATCTTTTAGTGTTTATTGCATATATCATTAGTCAAGTTACAAGATCATGGTTTTAGTTGAGCACTAGCATCATACTATCCAATGCAATACCCCATAGGTATCAAGGAATCCAGGATATCAAATAGCTAGGAAAATTACTACGGTTGCCAAGGTAGACACATGCATATGATCAAAATGATATTAAGGTGAATAGGACAACAAGAAAGATCCCATGCTATACTTGCCTTAGACTCTGATCCTTCTTCTAGTCTAAAGCTTCCAAGAAACTCCTTCATGATCAACACGTAAAGCTCACCGACTGGACAGGATCATAAAGCACCACACAAACATCCATGCAATCATACACGAAGCAAACAGTAGAACTAAATTAGAACAGTACACCAAACATATGAAACAGCAAATAAAAATATTTTAAAGATGTTCTACATGTTACTACGAACACACAAACGCGAAAAGCACGCTAATCGGAGCTACAGTGAACAAGATACAACTACCGATAGATTTGCTTCGAACAGGAACTATAGGCTTTATTTATTTTAGATATATAAAACAGGTATAAGATACTTCAGAGAAATACCTTAATTGAGTTAAGTCAAATTATACTTGATTTAGGAAAACAAGGTAAAACTAATCACATAATTGACCAGGGTGAAAAGCGTAAGTTACTTTTAATTAGAAAAATCCAATTGCATAATCATTATTCAAGTTAGGCGTTAAACCATAAAATTCCAGAGCTCTTGACATGGAAAACATTGATACTAATGCGTAGATTATGTCGTTACGAATCTAACGCAACTTGAACGGGTCAAATTGGAGTTAAAATATAGAAGATATGGCCTAATGAAGATAGAGGCAATTTTGTAAATAGATGGAACTTAATATTTGAATTAAAAATAAATAAAATCAGATTTTTGATATGCATGAGGACTGTGGATACTATTTTATCAAAAGGCAGGGGCTCTTTAGAAAAACTACAGGGATGGCGGGTTCTATATTAAAAATTTGAGGGGCTCTTATGCAATTAAGCCACGCGAAGGGTTACGGGCTAATCTGGGGCTTTGGTTTGGCTAAGGTGTCTCTGCATAAGAGTTCCAATTATCACCTCTAATTAATTGGATAGTCAGATTAAGCAGCTGAACTAAACTATGGAGACCTTCCTTCATTGTTTCGCTAATCCTTGTCCTACCAAATTGCTGAATTGGCTCGCACTCACGGAATTTTGGTATAACACTTGCCCACACTTCACAATTAGTCGTTCTCCATCCGAAGCACTCTATGGCTATGTGCTTAAGAACTATGCCCAGGTCTGCAACGCCAGTGGTTGGATCTTGGATGATGGAAATTGGAACAGCGGAGGAGACAGTTGCATCTAGATGGGGATGAAGGGGAGGAGAGGATCTGAATGGGATGACTTTCTTGAGGTGCAGCCACCGAAGACAAAGAAGACCCCGTAAGCTGCCACCACCGATGCGAACAACAATGGTGGAAACCACGAACCAACCATGATGGCAGGGAAAGGGACCATGTGAGCCAAACTCTTAACTAAAAAGTAACCTTAGATGTGTGAAGAGGCAAATCCCCTCTCCTCCTTGCAATCGACAACGTTGCCAAAACAACAGAAAGAGGGGGACCTAGGGTAGCGACGATGGCTAAGAACCCGATCGGGAGGCGTGCATGGGTGTTGTTTAGCAGGCATCACTAGTATGCCACAAACTTTTTTCCTTCAAAAACTAATATATGTTTGATTTCATATGCTTGTGACTATTTATGTAGATGGTTTTAAAATTTTCTTGACCATACTTAGAGGATCAATGGCCAATTTGTTTGAGCTACAACTTCAGCTTTTTGGATCAAAAGTTAGCTTTCTAGATTTTATCTTTTGGCTGATGGCTTTTTGCTAGTTTCTTTAATAAATTTTTAGCTTTTATCATACCAAAAGTTATAAAAGTATGCTCATAGTGTGCCTTTTAGGTTTTAGTTTATTTCCTCTTAAGCTATTTTCTAGGTTTTTAAAAGCCAATTCAACAATTGGGTTGTTTGATTCACCTTCTGGCTTCTGTCGGATACAAACCAGCAAAAACCTAAAAACAAACATGCCTTAAAAGTTGGGATGAGTGAATTTCTTTTTCATCTTTAAGCGGGCACGAATTTTGGCATGTTTCCTAAAGCTAGGATGGGCAAAATTTCACCTTTTAACCAAAAAAGTTGTTAACCAAAATTTTCGTGATCTTTTTGTTGAAGATTTTGGCTTTATTTGGTTAATAAATTTATTTGGTTTCGTATGACTTTATATTAAACATTAAAAATATATGCATTTATATTTTTAAATGTATTTCTATGATATTTTATTTGGTAGAAGCATTCTTTGTTGTTGTTTTTTCTTTTCTTTTGTTATAATATGATGCGTTTTTCTTAGGTGCTTTTCAATACCATTATATTATTGAATTATCTTCATGTATAAAGTACCAAAACTGATTTTGTTCAGCTATTAGTTATTTATTAACAACAAATTCAGTTTACATTTGGTTAAAATCGAAATTTTTGATAACCGATGGAACGATTTAACTAACTGAATTAAGCGAATGGCCCAGGCGTAGCCAGAGGGAGAGCAAGTGCTGTGCTGCCTTCCGCCCTCACGGTTCACGGCTCAGTTGGCCACTGCCACGCCCACGCCACCCAAAAACTCATGGCCAGCGCTGTCTGCGGCATCACCGCGCGCCCGCACTTGCCTTCCGCCGTCCCTGCAGCCGCAAGAAAGCTCTTGTTCCGCTGCAGGGTGGCCTCCACCATGAACGAGGCATCTGCGAGCTCGCCGGACGCCGAGGAGAAGAAGACGACGACCGTCTTCATGGCCGGCTCGACGGGGCGCACCGGCAAGCTCGTTGTGGAGAAGCTGCTGGCCAAGGGATTCGGGGTCGTCGCCGGCACGACGGACGTGAGCAGGGCCCGTGTCAGCCTGCCCCAGGACCCCAACCTTCAGCTCGTGAGTTTAAGCTGACGTGCTTCTTGTTGTCGCCCTCGTTAAATTGGTGCGGTGGTGTTGTGAATTTGGGCCTTTGACTCTTTGAGTGACTGAAGGTCAGGGCTGACGTTACGGAGGGCGTCGACAAGCTGGTGGAGGCGATGCACGGCGTCGATGCTGTCGTCTGCACGACGGGATTCCGGCGGTCCTTTGACCCTTTTGCTCCGTGGAAGGTTTGTATCTGGTTAATTTGTACAGAGTGACTGATGCTTCTTTCTTGTTCATTGCTTTGATTAGATCTTTCAGGTGCTATTATAGGGCTAAAATTATGAAATAGTGTAGGGAATGTTCTTGCCAGAATGCCCCGATTTAAATGTTTGCACCTGTCAAAAGTGTTCAGATTCTGTAGAAACTTTGGTAAATGTAGGTTGGTCAGCATTCTTGGCAGCAAGTTATTCTGAACCAATTAATTTGAAGTTGCTATTCACACGTTCAGGCTATGCTGCCATCTCTTAATTCAAAGAAACTGTAACCTTACTACTACTGATTACGACTACAGATAACTTATATATTGAGTAATTGGTGGAGCAAGGTCTTGAGTCGCCGGCACCGCCGCGCTCGCCACCGCCGTCACCCTCTGGGTACGGTTCAAGTAGATGACCAAGTTCGAGTTCTCTTCTCCTCACTCAGCCGTTACAAAGAGGGGCCTTGTTGGGGCTGCCTCTCGTTCTGGGCCACGCAGGCCCGATACTCCTACTTCGCCTATTCTGGGCCGATCATACGCGGGTTGGGCCGCCTGCTTCTTGCCCCCGGTCCAGCATACCAGGTACACGGTCGCCCTTCTGAAGTACGCCTCCCGTCACCGTTTCATCATCTTCAGATTCTTCAGGCTCTTCTCCAGCTGTAGTCACCGGAGTCGTCGATGGAGCATCGACGGTGACAGAAGCATAGGGCAGTTTCCCTCTTAATAAAATACACGCGATCCAAGCGTGCTCGTGAAAAAAGAAGAAGAAGAAGAATAGGGTAGTTAGTATGGGATTATTACTTTGCAAATTGTATGCATCAAATTTTCAATTTTGAAAAGAATTTGCTTCAAAAAATCCGAAAAGAATGCTATATTCGAGGGTTGCCGCATCACCATTCTGCTGTTCCTGGTGGGATCTGGTTCAATATCTGGACAGTTAATTTGGACCCCTGAGTTCCTAAAACCAGGCCAGCGGGCCATTGAGAACTCAATTAAAGTTTGAATTCACGCAGCATACAACTCTCAGTATTCTTTTGTGGGGCAATTTTAACATGTTTCATGTTTGGTACTTATAAGATGATCTAAGTTCACTTGTGTCCACTAATTGTCCCACTGAGCCTGTGGCACTGGTGAGGGAGACAAACGAGGCTGATGCCGCTTGGGCAACTAAAGAGATGGATTTTGAATCCCAAAAGATGTCCTATGATCTTGAGCATAGGAACTGGGTCACTACCAACAAGAAATATTTGGCTGTGATAAAGAACACGATTGAGCCTGCAATTGTGGGCTCAATCCCAGAGTGTGACACGGTCACCGAGTACCTTGATAGAATAAAGAGCCAGTTCACTGGCTCTTCAAAGACATGCTACACAGCTGACAAAGCAGCTGGTGACAGAGAGTTACTATGGAAATGGTGGCATAAGAGAGCTCACGATGCGCTGTCGAAATTATGGCACTGTCGTTTAGGCCATATTTCGAGGGGGAGAATAGAAAGACTAGTTAAGAATAATATTCTTCCTCCATTAGAGCTCTTAGATTTAGAACAATGCAGAGAATGCATGAAAGGAAAGTATGTAAAAAAAATTAAGAAAGATGCCAAACGAAGCGTAGAAATTTTACAGATTATTCACACAGACATCTGTGGTCCGTTTCCTGTAAAGAGTGTGGATTGTTATGATTCATTCATAACATTCACAGATGATTACTCCCATTATAGCTATATTTATCCAATCAAAGAAAGAATAGAATCATTGGATAAATTTAAGATATTTAAGGCAGAAGTTGAAAATCAACACAATTTAAAGATTAAGACAGTCAGGTCCGATCGGGGGGGGGGAGTACTACAGTCGGCATGCCCTATATAGCCAAGTTTCTGGACCCTTTGTAAGGTTCTTACAGGAGAATGGCATAGTAGCCCAGTATTCTACACCGAGCGAACCTCAGTAGAATGGAGTAGCTGAAAGACGCAATCGTACCCTGATGGATATGGTGCGCAGTATGATAAGTTACTCCACCTTACCGTTGAGCCTATGGATGGAGGTGTTAAAAACCACCATTTATATTCTCAATAGAATACCAAGTAAGTCGGTGCCCAAAACACCGTATGAGTTGTGGACAGGAAGAGTACCCTCACTAAACCACTTACGTGTGTGGGGGAGTCCTACTGAGGCTAAAGTATTTAACCCAAACATTGGGAAACTAGATCCAAAAATAGTAAGTTGCCATTTCATTGGCTACCCAGAAAAGTCAAAAGGTTTTCGTTTCTACTGTCTAGACAGACATACAAAGTTTGTGGAAACAAGACACGTTGTCTTCCTAGAGGATGAAATGATGAGGGGGAGCATGGTAGCTCGAGAAATTGACCTTGAAGAGAAGCGGGTGTATGCGCCCACTCCGATAATTCATGAGCCATTTTTTCTCACTACCTGCTGTCGCTGCACCGACAATGCAAGATACTGTGGTGCCAACACCTATTGTTATTCCACCTGTGGCAACAATGAATGACAATGAGGAACCTGTTCTTCAGGATCCTATAGAACCTATTGCCACACGTGAAGGGGAGCAACAACAGCCTCAAACAGAAGATATGCCAAATGAGGCCCCTAGAAGGTCTCAAAGAGTTAGAAAATCAGCTATTTCGGCTGACTATGAAGTATACAACACTGAGGAATTTCAAATGGATGAAGATCCCACCTCATTTGAAGAACCCATGAGAAGTGATCATTCATCAAAATGGCTTGAGGCCATGGAAGATGAAATGAAATCTATGAATGCCAATAAAGTTTGGGACATGGAAATAATTCCTAAAGAGCCAAAATAGTAGGCTATAAATGGGTCTACAAAACAAAACTAGACTCTCAAGGGAATATAGAGAGATATAAAGCACGATTTGTGGAAAAAGGCTTTACGCAAAGAGAATGGATTGATTACAATGAGACCTTTTCTCCAGTCTCATGTAAGGATTCCTTCATAATCATAATGGCATTAGTGGCACATTACGATTCAGAACTACATCAGATGGATATAAAGATGGCATTTCTTAACGGGGGCTTGGAGGAAAATGTTTACATGGCACAACCGAAAGGTTTTGTCATGGAAGAAAAAGAACGAATGGGATGCCACATAAAGAAATCCATTTATGGATTAAAACAAGCTTCAATATAGTGGTACTCGAAGTTTGATCAGACAATAAGGAATTTTGGGTTTAAAGAGAATGTAGAGGACAATTGTGTCTATGCAAAGTTTAAGAATGGGAAGTTTATCTTCCTTGTCCTGTATGTGGATGATATCTTAAATGCTAGTAGTGATGTCAGTCTACTACTGTAGACAAAGAAGTTTTTGTCCTCAAAATTTGATCTGAAAGATCTTGATGAAGCTTCGTTCGTTCTAGGGATCGAGATTCACCGAGATAGAAGTAAAGGGGTATTCGGACTGTCACAAAAGGCATACATAGAAAAAATCTTAAAGAAATTTAGTATGCACAAATGTAGTCCCTCACCTACTCCTATAGTCAAGGGCGACAGATATGGGGATTTTCAATGCCCCAGGAACCAATATAAGATCGATCAAATGAAAACGGTTCCATATGCTTCAGCTATCGGAAGCTTGCAATATGCTCAAGTATGTACGCGCCCTGACTTGGCATTTGTTACCGGGTCACTTGGTAGATTCTAGAGCAATTCTGAAACAGAATACTGGAAATTAGTAAAGAAAGTCTTGCGTTATTTGTAAGGAACGAAAGGCCTCATGATGACGTATAGAAGATCAGATTCACTCTATATAGTGGGGTATTTAGATTCTGATCATGCGGGAAATGATAGAAAATCCACGTCTGGATATGTATTCACTCTCGTAGGGGGAGCTATTTCATGGAAAAGCTCAAAGCAAACCGTCACTACATCGTCCACAATGTATGCCGAGTGTATAGCGTGTCATGAGGCAACGGGACAGGTGAACTGGCTAAAGAAGTTCATACCCGGTTTGAAGGTGGTTGACGACATCTATAAACCACTTAAGTTATACTACGATAATAATACAATAGTAAAGTATGCTCACAACAATAAGTCAAGTGGTGCTGCCAAACGCATTGACATAAAGTATTATATTGTGAAAGATAAAGTCTGGGATCATGTAATAAGTCTTGAGCATATAAGTACTAAAAAGATGCTCGTGGATCCGCTTATAAAAGGCTTACCACCCAACGTGTTCAGAGAACATGTAGCTAGCATAGGTTTAAGGGAAAGGTTATAATTCCTGAACAAAAGAAGGCCTAAAGTTAAGTATCTATTTCAGAACAGAGTGGTGTGTTGTAGCTGTTAAATCTATCGGCAATTGACTGTGACGATGAAACATGCTCTATGCGTTAATCTGTAATGGAATGAACAAAAGTAAATGATATGAAATTGAAAGATGGTAGTGAGATCAAGGGGGAGAATGTTAGTTGATCTCCACCAACGGCCTATTGGGCCCTTGGATCTGCGCCCTGATCAGGGGCGCCCAACCCTAATATGGTTGGTGGGCCCCTGTCGCACAGCACTATAAAAAGATAGGTGGGGATCACGGCTCTAACGACGAGGTTGGCCGAAGCAGCTGTGATCCACCAACAGAAAACCTAACCCGATCTAAAGAGGGTGCGGCCAGCGACGGGAAGACCCACTGACTTCGCCACCACCAACCTCACTGTCGCCTCTGCATCGCCACTGGACCTCAAAACCACTATGCTGGGCTCCACCGCGCCGAGCTGCCACAACACCAGCGTCCAAGCCGCTGCGGCGCCATGGACCGAATGATGACCTAGGGCAAGGTACATCAACAGTTTCCCTATCTAAGTAAGATACTTACCCCTGACCTACGTTTCAGAGGCACTGTGTATTCCAACAGCTTTAAGGTGGGGTTTGCAAAACCATGTAACTAGGATATGCTATTCCAAAGAAATTTTTACTGTTGGAAGTCAATAGGATGTCATTTCATTTTATGGAAGTAGTATAA